GTCTGTGGACTGAAAGGTCCCAGGTTTGATTCTGGTCAAGGGCATGTGGTCAAGGGCATGACATTGGTTGCAGGCACATCCCCAGTAGGGGGTGTGCAGGAGGCAGCTGATGGATGTTTCTGTCTCATCGATGTTTCTGTCTCATCGATGTTTCTAGCTCTCTATCCCTCTTCCTTCCTTTCTTTAAAAAAAAAATCAATAAAATATATTTTAAAAAATAATAATTATTTGTGTAGGGAGCTGTCTGATGCATTTCAGGATGCTTAGCAGCATCCCTGGGCTCTACCCACTACATGCCAGGAGCAGCCTCCCAGTTGTGACAATAAAAGCATGTCTCCAGCCCTAGCAGATTTGGTTCAGTGGATAGAGCATCGGCCTACGGACTGAAGGGTCCCAGGTTCGATTCCAGTCAGGGGCACATGCCTGGGTTGTGGGCTTGATCCCCAATAGGGATCAAGAGGTAGCCAATCAATGATTCTCTCTCACCATAGATGCTTCTCTCTCTCTCCCTTCTCTCTATTCATTTTTTTTTTAAATTGTCCCCTGGGGAGCAAAACTGCCCCTGGTAAAGAACCATTACATCACACATAGCATAACACACAAATATCTGGAAGCCATCGCAAAAAAGAAAGCCTTTAAACAGAAAAGAGAAAACAAAGAGAAGTCATAATTCTCTTTAAATATCTGAAAAGTTTTCATATAGATGGGGGAACAGATTTCAGATGCCAGAGAGCAGTAGTATTCCCCGTGGGTAGAAGTATATATGATAAAACCAGCTAACACTTACTCTTCCTAAATGCCAGGCACTGTTCACTGCACTTTGAAGTGATATTTCATTTACCCTTCACAATAACTCTATGAAGTTGGTAGAACCAGTCCCACTTTATAGATGAAAAAACAGAATCAGAGCCCAAACCGGTTTGGCTCAGTGGATAGAGTGTTGGACTGCGGGCTGAAAGGTCAGTCCCAGATTCGATTCTGGTCAAGGCATGTACATTGGTTATGGGCACATCCCCAGTAGGGGGTGTGCAGGAGGCAGCTGGTCGATGTTTCTCTCTCATTGACGTTTCTAGCTCTCTATCCCTCTCCCTTCCTCTCTGTGGAAAATCAATAAAATATATTAAAAAAAAAAAAAAAAAAAAAAAAAAAAAAAGGCCAAAACCGGTTTGGCTCAGTGGATAGAGCGTCGGTCTGCAGACTGAAAGGTCCCAGGTTCGATTCCGATCAAGGGCATGTACGTTGGTTGCGGGCACATCTCCGGTAGGGAGTGTGCAAGAGGCAGCTGGTCGGTGTTTCTCTCTCATCGACATTTCTAGCTCTCTATCTCTCTCCCTTCCTCTCCGTATAAAATCAATAAAATATATTTAAAAAATAAAATAAAAAAGAACTCTTTGACTTAAAAGCTGTTTCTTTCACCTACAATCATCTTCATAGCCACCATCTCAATCCTACCTGCCCAGATCAGAAGCAGGTCCAGAAAGCGTTCCTTTATCATCTCCAGGGAAGTCTCGCTCTTACACTAATGAGCCCCTTTACAACCTTCAGCTCTTCCTACTTCAAGTTACTCAAACTACTCTGTCAAGCTCTTCCTTAGAAAACTCCTGGAGAGTGGGGAAACCAGCTCCTCACATTTACACCCCAACAAAGCCTTGCACATACTGGGGCTCAATAAACCTTTTCTGAATGACTGCACCATCTCCACCCTCTAAAGCCCACACTGGCAGGAATGTTGAAGCAAGAACTTTTGAGAGATGCAATCCTGCACATAAGCTATAAGCAGAAGATTTTATTGGGGATGTTCCGGGTTTTTTCCAGCTCTCAGAATCTGAGTTCAGGAAAAGTCAGAAAGGGAAAGATAACTGGTAACACAGCCCATTGACTGCATCTCCAATTTAATCTCACAGGGACTTGCTTGACTATCACCAGATAACATGTGTCAGGGGCTATATGTATTTATGTATACGTGTATATGCACATACACTTGCATGAGTATATTACATATACACATGTCCATGCATACCTATGAATGCATGTACAGTCATCCCTTGGCCACTGTGAAGGATTGATTCCAGGACCCTGCAGATATAAAATTCTGTAAATGCTCAAGTCCCTTATATAAAATGCTGCAGTACTGGCCCCACTTTATAGATGAAAAAAACATAATCAGGCGATAGCAGGGTATGTCTACACATCATTTCATTTGCATGGACTCAGCACAGAGCTTGGTGAGTGGCAAATTCAAGTTTTGCTTTTTGAAACTTCCTGGGATTTTTTTTTTTTTCCTGAGTATTTTTGACCCACAGTTGTTTGAATCTGCAGATGTGAAAACCATGGACACGAAAAGCCGACTGTACTATTGTATACCTCTATAAGAAACTAAACAATGTCTGTACGATTTTTGAGACCTTGAAGCCAACACAAGGAGGTCTAAATTAGGGGCCTCTTTCTTCCCCTGATATATTAATAAGGTTAGGCAAGTAATGCTATACATAGTATTCCTCAAAAAACGCCAGCACATTTGCTAACTAGTGCTGCCTTTCCCAGAGACCAGACCTGGCATCCTCTCAGGAAAATGCCACGTGGCCAAGCCCTGTTCGTGTATGTGGCAGTGAGGAGATGCTCACAAACAGTGGAGAGGGAAGGCAGGAAAGCATCCTTTGGAACATTAAAACATTAGTTTGAAAAAAACACATTAGTTTGGAGGCCACCTGTCAAGAGACAAATACCAGCCCTAGCCAGTTTGGCTCAGTGGATAGAGTGTCAGCCTGCTGACCGAAGGGGTCCCAGATTCGATTCCCATGAAGGGCATGTACCTTGGTTGCAGGCTCCTCCTGGCCCAGGCCCTGGCTCGGGCATGTGCAGGAGACAACCAATCAATGTTTCTCTCACATCGGTATATCTGTCTTTCACTCTCTTCCACGTTCTTTGAAAATCAATGGAAAAATATCCTCGGGAGCTATGGTGAGCGCGTGCACAGGAGGACCCGGGGATTCAATTCACTCACTACCCTGCAGGGGCTTAAAACCTTGGATGCTTCCACCGCCAGGCCTGAGGAGTCTGGTAGCTGCATAGTCTGGCCCTCCCAGCCCTGAGTCTGAACAGCCCCCAAAGGCTCCGGGGTTCCAACTTTAATATATTTCTAAAATAAAATTAGAAAAAAAGAAAGAAAAATATCTTCGGGTGAGGATTTTGAGACGAGAGACAAACGCTAAAAATTTATCTTATGGGCACTAGATTTCCTTGAAAAAATCCCAATCTCCAGGATAAAGTACTTCTACTATTCCTTTAAAAAGAAAAAACGAGAAAGAAAGCCCGGCCTGTGTGGCTCTGCAGTTGAACATCAACCCAGGAATCAAGAGGTTGCCATGCCAGTTCCATTACCAGTTAGAGTACATGCTGGGGTTTTGGCATCCATCAATGACTTCCTCTCCCATAGAAGGCAGCCATCAATGTTTCCATCAATGTTTCTATCTCTATCCTTTTCCCTTCCTCTCTCTAAAAAAGAAAAAAAGCTATGCCCAGTATTCATAGATGTAAAAGCCTGTCTTTCCATAGCCAGCTAGTGGGATGAATTCTCCAGGCTAATTTGGGAGGCAAACGGCGGGAGAGCTGGCTGGGAAGGCCACAGAGTAGAGCAATCAAGCAATTGCTTTGCCCAAGGGCCAGACTCAAAATAAGGGCAGAGATGTCGAGGGGAAGAGCATCCTACATAAACCAGACTAGCAGTCTCTCCTCAACTTCTTCAGTTACAGCAAGGGCAAGAATCCTGTACCAATCAATATAAGCCTTTCCTACTGTCACCAGGTGCCTCTCCATGGAATGGAGGTCTTCTGGTTCTTTCTATCCTAATCTTGCATCTCCATCAATGACATGGCATTTTCCCTTTAACGTGCAGCCAATCACCATTCAAGAGAGGCACCAATGTAACTGTCCAGATGATGAAACTGGCTGGCCACCTAAGTACAAAAGCCAGTGCAAAATGAAATACATCAACACGACCGGGAAAGCTTCGAGAGCCAACCACAAAGCCGTCTCCTTCAATCTGCAGGCAGAGTTGGCTGTGTTGTGTTCTTTTTTCCCTTTCTTTCTTTAACAGGGTCTCCCCGTTTGGGATAAACACTGAAAGCTTTTAAAATGCACTTGTCATACTCCAGGGACCAGTTGCACATCGGAGCCATTTAATAAATGGGGCCTACTTTTAATCTTATCTACTTTTGTAGGGAAATAAATTTAAAAAAAAAAAAAGGAGCTTGAAAAAGCCTGTAGTGTAGCACTTGTCACCAACACTTGACTCACTCAAGTCAAGGCAATGAGGCCCATGACTGTTAAAAATGCATCTCAAAGCTCCTGTCCTGTGCACATCAATCCCAGTCACCGTTGAAAACAAACAGCCTTTTTAAAGATGCTTTGATCTACAGTCAAGGGAAGGTGTGAGGACAGGCGAGAAGTCATGGCGACAGGGACAGCCGCAGTCCAAGGGGGGTAAAGAGGGGGGCCGGTCAGTTGCCATCTGAGACCTGTTCTGGGTACCCACCAGGGGTACCCCTTCTCTCCAAATCCCCCTCCATCTTTACACCTGCCCAGGCATCTCCATTTCGGTCCAACAAACTGTTTTGTTTTGTTTTTCTTCTTCTTTGAGACGACGTTGAATGAGAGTGAGCCAGAGGGGCTGATGAAGACAAGCGAGGGAGCGAACCTCGGGATTTGCTGGAAAACGTGTACCTGTTTACTCCCAGCGCCCGGGAGACGCGGAGCGGCGCGGCGCACAGCCGAGCTCACCCCACAGCCGAGCTCACCCCTCGGGGCCGACCCCGCCTCCCCACCGCCCCGGGTGCGTCCCTGATTTAGGGGCGAGCCGCCACCACCCGCGCCCCTCAAAGCGCCCGCGGGACCCTGAGGCTCCCCGCGCGCCGGCCCGCCCCCCAGAACATCAGCGCGGTCTCCCCCGGGGGGGCCCCCCGCCCCTCACTCACCCTCCGCGCTGCCAGTCCCCCCATTACCTCGGAGGCCCGGGTTGTCGTCTCTGGCCCGGATCTTTCGGATTTTGACCGGGCGCCCGCTCAGAGTCGACAGGACCAGACGCTGGCGCAAGAAGTTGCAGCCCGCGTAGCTGAGCGAGTGCGACGGAGTCGCCATGTGCGCGCCCCGCGCCAAGACGTGGGCGCCCGGGGCGCGGCCACTTCAGACAGACCGGAGCGGGGTCGCGGCGGCGGCGGCGGCGGGCGACAGCGGCGACGGCGGCAACCGGGGTTCCCTCCGGCGCGGACCCGCAGCCCCCGACGTGTCCACGTGGTTTGGAACAGGAAGACGGAGAAACCAGACACCGGGTCAGAGGGGAGCGGGGAGGAGCCGGCGACCGCCTCTCTCCTCGCCTCCCCGCCTCCCCGCCGGACTGAGGACGGCCCCGAGCCGGGCGCTGCGCCGCTATTGGCCCGCGCGCGGTCGGGGCGGTGCTCGCGCAGCGTCGCCATTGGCCCGCTCTGGAGCTGGGCGGAGCCCCCGCCGCGTCGCCATTGGCCCACGCTAGAGGTGGGCGGTGCCCGAGCCCCGGCAACAGAGCGGAGAGGAGCGCGGGGTGGGGGGGCTGCCTGGTCGCTCCGACAGGGGAGCTCACACCCTGCGCGGGGTCTCCCCGAGAGTAGGAGCAAGGAGAGGGGACGGCTGGGGTTCCGGGCCTTCTACATGCCGCTACTTAGCCTTCCTGCTTACTGGCAACCACCGGGATGCGGACGGCGTGATCTAGCCCGCCTTTTTCCTAGTAGAGGAGAAAACAAGATTGGCGCGCTCACCCTGCTGCAACGCTGTCCTGAGCGCGCTGCTGGCATGTCCCCTCGCTCTGAGCTGTAACCCTGAGAGGCACTGCCTGCCATGCCCACGAGGAGCATTGCAAAGCTGGCAGAGGCAGCATGCACTGGGACCCCAGCCTCCAGGCACCAGGCTATTTGCTTAGGTATGTTCTCTGTGAAGCACCACGCTTGCCCCTTTCACATTGATCTCTTCCTTTATAGCCACAGCGCCAAGTCAGATCCTCCCATCTCACATACCTGCAGGCTCAAAATGGGTTGGTGTAATGACTCCACACACAAACACACCTCCACACCCTGCTTTTCCCCTCTTTCCTGTCCTTTCCTAATCCTGCACACCTAAATCATACCAAAGATTGGATTGTCAGCCCACTCTTCAAAAACTTTCAAAGATGCATGGGACCCTAGTAGGTTTGGTCTGGGGACTGAAGGGTCCCGTTTTCCATTCTGGTCAAGGGCACTTGCCAAGGGTTGTGGGTTCCATCCCCAGTAGGGAGCGTGCTGAAGGCAGCCAATCAATGACTCTCTCTCATCGTTGATGTTCCTATCTCCCCCTCCCCCTTCCTCTCTGAAATCAATAAAAATATTTTTTTAAAAGAAGACGTGTGGTTAACTATCAAATGACCACAAATTTAGGAGCCCAATGTCATAATAATGTGTGTTTGCAGTCCTTCTTGAACGATGTCGCCAGATCATGCGTTCCAGAACACATTGGGGGAGGGAGGAGGTCTGGAAAGAGTAAGAGCCTCAATAAGATTAAAGAGGGTAGCTTGCCTTATGTGAACAAATATCAGTTATGAGGAACCAAGCTGAAGGTCTAAGCTGGTTCGTGACCAGTTACTAGAGATATAGGTAGAATTTAAGATAATTAGCCCTTAAATCCATTGAGGAAGGGAGGTAATTCATGCCAATTTTTGCCATTTCTCCATACTGCCTTTTAGGGAGTTGACTGTGGTGATGTGGGACTGTTGAAAGCTCCAGGGTCCTAGCTGGTTTGGCTCAGTGGATAGGGTGTGGACCTGCGTACTAAAGGGTTGCAGGCTCAATTGATCAGGGCATGCAGGAGGCAGCCAATTGATGTGTCTCTCTCACAGCAACCAATTAATGTATCCATGTTTCTCTCTCTCTCCCTCTCCCTTCCACTGTCTAAAAATCGATGAAAAAAATATCCTTAGGTGAGAATTAACAACACCCCCTCAAAAAAAAATGAGGAGGGGAGGGAGTTCTGGAGGGGTGGATGTTCCAGGTCTCTCTTGAATCCTATTCTGGGGGAATACCAAAGCAAGGAGAGGAGTCATCTCACCAGGAGAGGATTTTTTTTTAATATCATCTCATTTTTAATAACTCAATCACCTTAAAAAAAAAAAAAAAACTAATATCCTCCGTAGCAAAGCCTGTCAGTGCCTCATTTATATCCCTTCAGCTCTTACTATTTACGGTGAAAATCTTCAATTTTTTGCTAAAAATGCCTATATCCCTTCGTCTGGAGTTTTCCTCACCTGCCTGGAACTTCACAGAACAAATGTACTGAGGAATTAATGCACCCCTCCCTAGTCCTTAACCAATGACTGGTGGGAGTTCATGTATAAGGATCCCAGTTCCCTCGACCCTTGGGTGAGACAGCTCTGAAATTCTACAGGATTTCCCAGGGATCCCCAGGGGTCTTAGCACCAGTTGTCCACAGGAGTAACTTGCTTCATTAAGTACCTATTACTGACTTACTTCCCTTCACTGTATCCGCCCCAGATAACCTGATAATTCTGAGATTAACTCCCAAATAAACTACTTGCCCTGGGGTCTTCTTCTGGGCAACCCGAAATAAGTCCTCAGTTTTTAAAAATTGAGAACTGAGGTTCAGAGAGAATAAATGACCTGTTTAAAGTGACATAGCTAATAAATGGCAGAACCAGAATAGAAAGTCTATCTTCCTCTCTCTACTTCTTCTCCCTCCCTCTCTCTCCTTCTATTTCTATATCACTCATCCTCTCTCTCCGCTCATATAGTTTGGAATCCTGAATCTCCAATTTAAAAGTCTGCCTACCATGCAGCTGCCATGTCAGAGAGACCACACAAAATGAGACTGCCAGCTGCTCCAGCTGACAGCTAGCATGAACCCCGAGACAATGGGAGTAACTGGCCTTCAGATGTCTCCATTCCCCAGAAAGCCTCTGGCCAACTAGAGCCACCCTAGTTGATGCCAAATGAGCACAGATAAGCTGTCCTCACTGCGCCCTGCCCAAATTGCATTTCCTGAGCTAAATAAATGATTGTTACTGTTTTAAGCTATGGGTTTGGGGTAGTTGGTTACACAGTGATAGATAACAGAAACTACATATCCCTGAACTCCTTTCCCTGCATTTGGAAGACAAAAGTGAAGTCACAGTCACATTTTTTTTTATGTTGAAAAGTCATTGCAGGGTACTAGGCTCTCTTGTAGCTCATATGCTTACCTGATATTGATATTATTGGCAAGGGGTAGCCCCCAGGCCCATAGCTCCTCTAACTCCTGATCCTACTTTAGCAACTCCAACTGCTGGGCCAGCTACACATTTGAACACCATCTTCTGCTGGTCACTCACATCACTGATTTTTGAGGCATGCAGGTTCTAGCTCATCCTGCTAACTTTAGGGCTCCATCACCGGGCACAAAGACAACAGCCTCATAGACTGTGAAACCTGCCCCCACAATTATTGTAAGGTCAAATCCCTATGATAAACCTCTACTTAGTGATTCTGCCTCTTCAGTTGAAACCTGACTGGTGCAGAATTCATTACTGAAAGCCAGCTAAGATTAAGGCTCTATGCTAAAGGCTTTCTATATATGATCTCATTTGGTCTTCACCCCAACTAGCTCAAGAGTTGGATTATGAATACAGAGGCATTTTTTATATATAATTCTTTCTACTTTATATTTGAGATTATCCATTGCAGATGTTTTTAATCTGCTCATACTTTTACATTAATGATAAATGGCATATACCTTGCCTTTTAATCACAGATATTTCCATTTTAATGAGGATAAAAGTATACTTGACTCAGCAATGGGACTTTGGATTTAGGGGCCAAAGTAAAAATTGATTCTTCCCAGTCCATAGAGAAAGATTCTCAAGGCCCCACCTCTACTGTCTGTTGGAGACCCATTGATTATGATATTTCACCTGCTTTCCTATAAGTATTAGCCATAAAAATGCTGATAAAATTTGGACAACTTTGTGTCCTTGTTTCAGAGCCTCTAGGAGAGAGGCATGGGGAGGAACTGGAGTCTTGTTTTATAGGCAACCATAAATATCTTCACTAACTGTGAAAGTGAGAGAGAGATAGACAATCAGCAGGTGATAGACAATCAGCAGATGATAAACACTCAGAGCCGAATTTTAAAGGCACCAGCTGCCGACCTTACAGCCATCATATCATAGTTATGAAACACTGATTTATAATTATGAAACTTCAAATGTGAATTGAAGCCTAATACACAGATGCAGCATTGTTGCATAAATGTTACATTTCTGGTTTTCTAGCACTGCCTTAAATTTCCACAGTTTATTGTCTCCATCAAACCATACTCATCACTCATCAAATCATGTTTCAATATTTAATTTAGACTACCTGTATTAGAACTCTTTCACTGTTTTAAAATACTTAACCATAAAAAAAAATTATTGATCCATTGAAAGTCAGAGGGTATCCGAATGTCCATTAACTGATGAATGGAAAAACAAAATGGAGTATATCTGTACAGTGGAATATTATTCAGCAATATAAAGAAATGGAGCAGAGAGACCACACAAAGTGAGAGTGTCAGCTTTTCCATGCTACATCATGAAAAATCCACAAAGACATTATGCTAAGTGAAAGAAGTCATCCAAAAAATCCCACATATTGTACACTTCTATTTATATGATGTGTCCTAAATACCTCTATAGAGACAAAAGGTAGATTATGTGGTGTCAAAGTTGGTCATTAGAAAATCCAGACTTGTGTTCCACCAGCTTAGCAAACCCAGAATGAAGAAGCCACCTCTTTCCTAATAGTACCAATAAATCTGGGGTTGAGCTCTCATTGGTCATACATCCATTTCTGAACCAATGGCAGTAATCTGGGAGAACATGTGCTCTGATTGACCAAACCTGTGTTGCATATTCATCTCCTTTGCAGAGAAAGTATTACCAGTGCCTCTCAAACTACAAAAATGGAGCATGCGCCCAGCTGGTATGGCTCAGTGGATTGAGTGTTACCTTTCCCTCTTCCCCCATGCACTAAGAGGTCACTGGTTCAGTTCCAGGTCAAAGCATATGCCCAGTTGTGGGCTCAATCCCGAGTAGGGGGCTTGCA